GGAGGGAGGGAGGGAGGGAGGGAGGGAGACAGAGAGGAAGGAGGGGAGGGAGGAAGGAAGGAGGGAGGGAGGGAAGAAAAAGGAAGGAAGGAGGAAAGAAAAGAGGGAGGGAGGGAGGGAAGGAGGGAGGGGAGGAAGGGAGGAAGAAGGAAGGAAGGAAAGAAAGGCTCATCATTAGGTAGAATAGGGGATTCAAATCCAGCATTCCTGTATAAAGCAAAACATATTTCAAGAAAAACACTCCACTAAAAACCAAGAACTGGTTTCTTCCAACTTGATGGTTCTCAACTTTGTCTTTTTGAAAACGCCTTGGCGCTTTGTTGCTCATGATACTGTTTTCGGGTATTTTTCATGGGACGTTACTAAAGCTTGTCAGCTGTTTGGAGCCCATCCCCAGGAGTCTAATGGGCTGGCAGAAACAGTGGGCAGAGCCCACCTGCACACCTGCTCCCCACAAGGAGCGTCCTTACCAGGAGCACTTTGTGAATATCGATACTCTGGAACAGAAGCAAGTTTGGAGCCAAAGTCATGGTCATGTGGAATCGGGGAGCCCTCTCTCGACACACACTCTGGAGTCTGTAGGCCACTAGTGTGAGGAGAAAGCAGGCCGGGATGAGTAGGCGATGCAGGGGCACTCCTGGAAGAGAACAGAGCAAGTGCAAATCAAAGTAGACGTTCTGGTCCGAATTTCAATGTGTATTTACTGTATTCATCCATATCTCTTTATTTTACTAAACTGGGTAGCTAGTTCTTAGCAACCCATCTTATAACTTACTGACCACACTTTCTCTACTAAACTGAGTAAAATGCGAGCAAACCATATGTTAAATAAAAATGAGGAACACTGCAATTGATAATGCACGTGCAATATCGGTTTAATCATGATTTAGGGATATACCTGCAACGGCTGCTAATCACAGTTATTGCTTGCCACTACCTCTTGAGGAGGGCTTGCAAGTCTTCAAAACCTAGTTAAAGAGGCAACTCCGGTAGATGCAAATGGAACAGTCTCTTGTGTCAAGGCAGACACAGCAAAGGAATTTGGAGGCAAAGCACACACATTCCAAAGCTGTTTTCCTAGAGGTGTGTGAAATATTCTGAATGCAAAACCTGTTGAGCTTAAAGAAGCTGTTCTGAGTGTTTTTGGCCCAGAACAACCCTCTCTCTCCCATTATTGGGTAGTTCTATCCCAAATTTGGCTACAGACAAAAAACTGGAAATAAGTTACTGCTTCCATTATTTGCTCTAAGTTTCTATTTTTAATAAATTGTTTAAATCATCCTCTTGGCCAATTTTTCTATAGTTAGGTAGTGGTAAGCATCACTCAGCATGGACAACCACCTTGTTATTTTGGTGGCCCCCATACGCTAAAACAGCAGAGCAAGAGCTTCTTTTTGAGTTTCTGTTGTTCATAATAGTAGAACACTTCAAAAGATTTTTGAGTAGGATTTCTTTGTTGTGAACTTAGATTTTTTTTAAAAAAATTCTATTTTGTGCTACTGCCTCTCCTGGTTTTCAAGCAATTGTGCAAGCATGAGCCTTAGGCCCTCAATGCCACCAATATCCTGTAAGTTCTTCCCTACCTTCCACTCCAGATTATTGATCTGTGCAACTACAGACTGCTTGAGAAATCTTGCCTTAATCTTATTTCACATAGGTCAGCTATGTGATCAAAAGTGGAACACAGCCCTCCCTGAAGTCTACACGCTGCCTCTGGAACAGGTACCCAGCATTCCCCTTGCCTTATAATGGAGCTCCCTATTCATTTTGGGCTGTTACATTGAACTTACCGGGAAGAGAGAGGTCCAAATGGGGTTCGGAAACAGGACACCCCCCTTTGTCTCCGTTTTCGGAACGCCTGCTCCACTAGCTTGCCTTCTGAAGGAGGGTCTATCCGCCAAAACGAGCCTTTTCCAGGCTCTTCTTGAGAACGGGGGACTTTAATAAAATATCGGTTCAAGGACAGATTGTGCCGAATGGAATTCTGTAAGAAGAAAATGGGTTATCCAAGATTTATGGCTGAAAAATGGAACGAACAAGAACAGTGCCATTAAAGACCCTTACCTGCCAGCCTTTATCTGCTGTTCTGTAATATGGATAATGCTTAGTAATGTGGGCATAGATTCCACTTAGTGTTAATTGCTTGTCCTGAGCTGACGAGATAGCTTGAACAATTAGCTGGGCATAGGAATACGGTGGTTTGGACTCGTCCTGCGGACCAGAAACACAAACACAAAGACGCAAGGGAGTTTTTAGCGGCTTCACAGTTCATTAATAATTTAGGCTGGAGCTTGTCTAACAAGATCTGAGGCAACTGAACAGATGCCTTTCAAGGTAAGAAAGGATTAAAAAAAACACAGCAGCAGCAGAAAACCCATTTCTCCAGGAAAACTGCCCACTTTTTCGATTTTTAAACCCCAGTTGTAATTCCTCTTAGCCTCAAGCACATCTCCAAACAGCCAAGGGTGGGAAAAAGCCCGTCGTCGTCATCACCACCACCGCTATTGCTACTGTGTCTTGCAAACACTTTTACTGGTTGCAATCATGCGGATGGACTTTCGGAGTTCCTGGAGGAGATACCTAGCTAACCCCCAGAGGACAATGCAATACCAGACCAAATAGATTATTGATCTGTGCAGCTACAGACTGCTTGAGAGTCTTGCTTTAAAATTATTTCTCATTAGTCTGTCAGAGTGAGGCCAGCTTTGGACATAATATGAAGCATTTCAGAACTCAAACCCAACAGGCCTAGAAACACGTTAGGAGGGTGCCAGGTTGGAGGAGAGTGTTTTAATGCCTTGCCAATGCCAGGGATGGAAGTTGAACCTTCTGAACCCAAAGCGATTTTGAAGTCAGGCTGGGGCAATTGAGGGTGGGTTGGAGAAAGGAAGGTGGGTCACATGGCTGCTTTTCCCCTATTCCGGCCACAGCCATGGGCCTGAACTCCTTACTCTTTTGGCCACCGTGAAGTACTGCTTCCTCAATGGAGGACAAAGAGGCATTTGGTGACAGCAGAACTGCTGTTGCTGGCCAAGGAGATGGCCAACTTGGCAGCAGAGGTCAAGGTGGGATAGCAGAGGAAGTGGTAGCTGTTCCTCTCTCCCTCCTTCGCACTTCTCCTGCACAGCTCCTACTGGGAAGCAAGAAGAAACCCAGATCCTGACCCCTCAAGGTCTCTCCAGGTCCCAAGGTGGCCACCTCCTTGCCTTGGCCATCTGTACCCCCCACCCCTGACCACTGACTCAGCCTTTGCAAAGTTGACGGGGAAGAGGGTGTTACAACCTTTGGGCTGTCCCCACCAGAGGCATCCGTCTGCTGTTCCAAAGTAGCTTTCGCTGCGTATTCGGCAGCCAGTTGGAGGTCAGAGGTAACGTTGTGGGTAAAGCGATATCCTGAGGAACCAGCACCACGAGGACTAGCCGGGCAGGAATTAGGAACACTGCAGGGAGGAAAGAGCAATATGTGAAGGCCGTCAACCCTGCTAGCCCTTTGCAAGGCATGGAAGACTTGATGACGGTGACCCAAAGTTGACCGGCTTCTCTTACATTCGATTGATTGGTTGATATGATTTATATAGCTGCCCATCTCACACAAGTGACTCTGGGTGGCTTACAAGATTAAAACAGACAAACCCACCCAACATAACCACCCTCCCATGCCCAAGGATAAACAGTTGACCTCACTCACCATCAATAGTAACAAACTCATCTACCCACCTGACCCAAATGCCTGGCGAAACAGACTTTGTTACTATTGATGGTGAGTGAGGTCAACTGCTTATCCTTGGTCACCCGGGGGTTATGTTGGGTGGGTTTGTCCATTTTAATCTTGTAAGCCACTTGTGTGAGATGGGCAGCTATATAAATCATATCAACCAATCTATTTATTTATTTTATTGATTTTGCATATTTAGATACCTGCCCATCTCACAAACACATGACTGTGGGTGGCGCACAACACAACAACAGTTATAAACTCCATAACAATCTAAAAACAATAAAAAATAAACAAACATATAAACAATCAATCAAATGTAAGAGAAGGAGGTTCATTTTGGGTCACCATCATCAGCAACAAGCACGCACACCTGGAAAAAAGGGGACAGGGACAATCCATTTCATCTTTTTAAGAATTTTACATAAAAGATTTTCAACCGACTTTTCTGCCGAAGAGCTCTCAAGATGGTTAACAAGCCTAGTCCAAAACAAGATTAAAACCACAACATACATTTAAAACCACAGATAAGGAACCTGTGGTTCTCCAGAAGTTTACTCAACTAAAATATTTCTAGTTAGGTATTCTGTTTTTATACTGAATTACTGCCCCATAATTTCCATCAAGGGGAACAGGCTGAAAGACAGATCAACCTGAAAGAGAAACTAAGACAGGATTAACCAGCAACATTTTAGAGCCCTGTAATGATTTGACCTCGTCCACTTCCTTCAAATCTAACACCAAAAGTCCATGAAGATCCTTATGCTTTTGTTTCCTTCCCATTTATGAGAGGCTGGATTTCTAAGAATTTCAGCCTGACACGAATACAGAGTGCAACTTCTGTTGGCCTAGCTCCAAAATGAGCCTGTTTTATCCATAACACTGAACAGTTTCCAGTTTGGAGGACAAACTTGGAGACACCACCGAACGGCAAACCTGGAAGGGAATGGTGCAGAAGGAAATGGAATATTCCACAAGTCTCTATAATGTTCAGTTCCTGGAACAATACATTTTGCATCTCCCTAATGCATACCAAGATTTGCTAGTTGCTTCTTGCTGTTTCTTAACAATTTCTGAAAACTGCATCTAAGTTATGTAAAAGTGATCTGCTACCCTCTGTTCCATCAACAAGGACGTGTTGTTTGGAGGGAACAGAAGACCACACTTTGCCTTTTACCAGTAGGCTGGAGGCCTTCTTTCCAAACAGTTGGCAGACTGACAAAAAACGACATGTGATTTCGCTCGGATTGATGTTTAACTCATTAACAATGGTAAATAGATGATCCTACCTTGCATACTGAATGTTTTGTCTTTTCATACTAAACATTACAACTCAGTGATCCTTTTTGAAAACACTCTGGGGACCGCATCTTTTCATTTTTTAAAATTATTTTTAACAGTGGAATACAAACAACTACAACATCAACAGGAAAAAAAAACCGGTAACGGCTATACAGTGAGAAAAAATCTACATATATTGGTGGTGATTAAAATAAATATGAAAAAGCATCAGCACGTGTTTCAAATGTATATATTCCAAAGCAAATATTAAAGCTAAAACACATTCAGAACACCATTTCTCAAAGTCTTTAAAACAATCATTATAAATCAACTGATTTAAGTAGTTAACCCTTGTTAGACTCAAATGTTCAAGAGTATATCTTCCCTTCAATCTTCAAGTTTGGTTTATTCCACAATGTCAATTTCTCATGTGATTCTGGATGAAAATTTAACTACTCACCTATTTAAAACCAAATATGTCTAACAGCTACCAAGGCTGGACTGGGGGCCACCCTGGGATTTTTTTTGGGGGGGGCATGAGTAGTTTTGCTTATTTGCGTCCCAAACTATGGCTTACTTAATTCCAGTTTACTGAACAAACCACAATGATTTGTGTTCACACAACGGCTTTGGTCAATGCAAGTGCTCAATTATTCTTGCTCACGGTTGGCCGATAATACATTCAGATCTATGGATTTTCAAAATATAACTCTCACTGTTGCATAATTAACCTTACAAATGTGTAGCTGAGTTTAGATCTGTTGATGATTAAATTATCTTTATGGTTCCCATGAAGTTAATGATTCAGCAAAGGCTGGGGCGTAACATGACAATGTTTAACCAGTTAAACTGAGCAGATCTTTTCAGATAGGTCAAAAACAGCTTGTTCGTTCACTACAGAGCTCCAACTGACTAGGTTCACGCCTTACGTTATCCCACAACCTGATTGAAACCACAGTTAGAGTAACCAAAGCTTAGAAGACGCAAGTCTACTCAGCCCACACTTAGGAGAAACAGCCAATGTTGTCAAATTACAGCCTTTGCATTTGTTGCATTTCAATTGCTTTCTTGGTGAAAAAGAGTATTAACAAGGATAAGTGCCACAAGAGGGCACTCACAGCACAAACTGTAAATCTAGCACACACACACACACACACACACACCAAAGAACAAAACAGAAAATAAGTAATGGCTGCTTAAACGCCTGT